AGGTGGGGAGAGAGAACAAGTGCAATTCCCTGAAATCAGAAAAAAGTGGTGTTCCACTCCCCTCAAGTGTCATAAACGAAAGAAACGTAGAAACAATAACTGATTGATCAGTATAGTGCCAATTTTCAGATAAAGCACAGGAGTTGCTTGAGATGTATAATTATGAGAAAACTCCTTGCATCAATCTCTGGAACTGACTTTCTAGTCAGCATAACTTAGATCCTTAGCTAATTGTCTCCAAGCAATGGGTAGGGTAGTCCAGCTTCCCAACCATGCACGGCTAAGTTCAAACAATGCAAGAAAGTTTTCTCACAGGACTGAAATTGTCCTAGGTTCATAATTGAATAGAAAGGGAGCTGAGCTAGCTCCAGAATTGAGTCACAAGGTGGAGTTGGTGTGGTTTACTCAATTGCCACTACTACTTGGTGTCCTCACCTCTTTCTCCATGGGTAGCATATTACATGTGAGGATTCATATGTGAACAGGGCTCTAAAAGACATTATCAATGACATTAAGGACAAAGAAAAGGTCAACTAGAAAAAAAGATGGCCTGGTATTGTAATAATAACCAATATATAAATGGTACTTTTGTAAAACACCATATATGCATATATGCACATACACATATATATATATATACACACATGTGATATACATATACACATACATTATGCATACACATATGTATAAATAGATTAAAGGAAGATAGATGATAAAGGGATAGATAGATAAATAGACAGACAAGACAGACAAATAGCTATGTAGGGTATCCCAAAAGTTTTAGTGCAATTTTAAGCTTAAAGCTACACAGAGATTTTGGGGAACCTCCATATACATAAGTAGGTCTTAAGCAAAATTGAAGGTCTGTGGTCCCTAAAAGACAAAAACATTGAAATGCAAGAGGGAAAGTTTTCTGATACAAAATTGACAGACTTCCCCCAAGAAAGGACAGAAGAGTTGAATAGCTCATTTGCATATAAAGAGGACGATGAACTTGCTTCCAGGGCATAAACTGAATTCCTACTTTGGTCCCTAGTCACTCATCTGCACAAGATTTCCAAAGGAGTATGGGTAAGGCCAAATTGAGATTAATCATCTTAAATTAAGGGTTCTTAACCTAGAGCCTAGGGACCCTGTGGATATCTTTAGGGAAAATGTGAACTTTGAAGGGAAAAAATATATCTTTATTTGAATATGATAGTATATATTTTATTTTAATCATTTAAAAAACATTATTCTGATCAGACTGTCAAAGGGGTCCATAATACACAAAAAAAGTTAGAACCAATTCCCCCAAGCCAAGGTAGAACAGTTTACTGAGGGAAAGGACTTGGTGTACCAGGAAAGGTTTATCAAAGTACCTCAGTTTCTTCATCTGTAAAATGAAGAGAGTGGACTGAGTGACCCCTAAGGTTCCCTCCAGCTCTAAGTCTGTGGTCCTATAAATGTTCACCTTCGCTCTCTAGAGCCTCTTTAGAATGACACGCTCTAGACACACATGCATTTGTGTTTCTACATACACTTCCTCTTTATTTTGTCCATCTTCCAAATAAGTGAGTAGTTTCAATTTATCAAGTAACCCTTGAAACCATTACTTATGGTGGCCATTCAGCTTTGAGTTCCTGTCCTCAGTGTTTTTCAAAGGAAAGACACTTTCTGTTGTCTAATTATACTACAAAATCAATTTTTGTTATTCAGATAGTAGAGGGGATCCACCATTTTCAATTTCTGCTGTTTAAAAATCCATATTGCCGTTAGAAACATCATATGGCTCTCTATTACTGCCACCTAGTGGTCTTATTACCTCAATTGTAAATAGTCACATTTTTATCAACATTTGGTCTTATCCACATTAAAACTGTGCCTTACATATTTAAAAGCTACACTTATACTGCCTTGTGAGTATGTCTGTTCCCTTTTAGAGGACCACATGATCTCTGCTAGAGCTGACTTCTTGCTCTACCTGGGCAGAACACTTTCGAGGCCTGATGTCTGAGGACATTCTATCCCGTTCCTCACCTTTTAGGTATATTCTACTAGCTCAAATCTTTCATTTTGAAGTTAAACATCATTGAAGTAATCTCGAGTGCCTTAAGTTAGACCGCAAAATGTAATATGCTTAACCGGTGCTCAAGCTGAAAAGGAATTCTGGATGACTATCATATGACAGAATGCAAGGACCATGTTGGTCATAGTTACCTCTGTTGCTTGTACTGCTTTTAAAATGCACCATGGCATCTTTGGAGGAGGAAATGGCAAATCACTCCAGTATCTTTGCCAAGAAAACTTCAAATGGGATCACTAAGAGTCACACATTTAATCCACTAAACAACAAATGGCATCTTCAAAAATTGTTATTGGCAAAAACCTCGTCTGTGCAACTGTTCCATAAAGCAACCCTTACTGTGCTGCAGAACTGCCAACTCTGTGCTGAGCCTTGTCTCAGAAGTGACCGAAATTGAAAGCGTACTGTTTCATTATCACTGATGCTACAAGAAGCTTGGAATCGAGTGACACATCCCAGTGAGGGCTGAAGCCAATTTGGTCTGTTAAAGAAAACAGGAAAAAAACTATCCAATGTTACTGTGTTAAGAACTTTTATACCACCCATTTCCAAAAAGGATTTGAGGATACTTTTAAAAATGAAACATAACTGCCACCCCCAAAACAAAAACAGAATAAAATCAAGCAAAAGGAGCAGAGGAATAGATGTTAACTCATGAACGAGATAGTTAAACCAGGTAAACAATGGCTGCAAAAATGTAATGTAAAGAGCAATTAATCTAGAATCACAACATCTGGGTTTGAATCTTGGCTGCACTGTGACTCTGGGCTCACTTAACTTCTTTTCAGTCTTACTTTTCTAGGCAATAAAAAGGAGATCGTAAAATTTGTGTTAATTATCTCATGGGGTTGTTGTCAGGAAAGCATCTTGTAAAACGCAATTTCTATATTATATTCGTACCTATTTTTGTCAAACATAAATTCTGTTTCATATGAGTTATTGTAACCACCATGATTTTCTTAAAATCAAAGCTATGAGAGTTGCCCAAACAACATGGAACTGTTCCTGGGTATATTTTGTGGTTCAGTTCCAAGTTCATCTTGAAGTTCTTACTGTCAGCGAGATCAGTGAGCTGACAGCTCACCTCGACAAAGCATTTTATGGTTTGTAAAACATGTTATAGACATTATCTTAGGCTCAGAATAACTCTGTTAGGTTAGTGCTATCATTATCTTATGTTACATAGGCTTGAAACCCAAAGAAATTAAGTGATTTGCCCATTGTTAGGAGTAGAGCTAATACCAGCAGCCTCCTTTTATAAGAGGTTAATATAGATATGAAATGAAACACTTATAAGTCATCAAACAGTTACCAAAAGGAGGTTTACTTTTCACTAATATAGGAAGAATAACATGGAACTTGGTTTTTATAGAAGGGGCACCCCCTCATATGACTCCATTTGGAAACTTGCCAGGTCAGCAGAAGGGCAGGATATAATGACTAGCATTGTCTTCAGATACCCACCAAGTAAGAAAGATCCATGTGGGTGGAACTTTTTACTTCCTTGGGTGATCAGAAATTTGGGTCAAGGGAGGCAGGGCTCCAGGGAAAATTAGGTTTGGGGAACAGCTTTGTCACCTTTTAGGGAAAACTCTTTTTGTGGGAGGAGTGGGGACCCTGATTGACATTGGTCATATCACGCTAATGATCACACAACTAATAAAATATTTGAGGCAGGATACTTAACTGAGGTGTGCTGGAGTTACCGGCTCTTACTGGCTCTTGTTAAATTTTCAGTGTGAGTATTTACAGCTCAGAAATCAGCAAATGCTACAGATCAGGGCTTGAGTTAGTTTTCTGTTTGTTGATTGTCTAGACCTAAGAAAGGATTGTAGAAAGTGTTAATAATGCAGATTAAAATTAAAATGTCAGTCTTGTATTGTTTTCCCCCTAGATAGCAGGCTAAAAATTCACTAGTGTACCCACTGATTGTATCCCAGATCTTTTTTGTCTCAAAGTCCAGTGCTCTATCTACTATACTTTGGAGCCCCTAAAATTGTTCATACCAAATTTTCCCCCAATATGTTAGAAACCTATAGAAAAGTTTTTATTCCTTACTAGAAGTAGGCTTTGGATAATGTGAATGTCAGCATTTTAATAATTTCTTGATTTTTAAGATTAATTCAAATATGACCTCCCAGTATCTGCTCTAAGATTGTTAGAACAGCATTCCCATTCCCATTTTACAGATCAGGAAACCGAAAACCAGAGACTTAAGAAATTTGTATCAGAACTATGGCTGTAACATGGGCATCTTTCTTTCTGCTCTGGAGTATTCAATGAAATCTTCCTTGATCATTCTGATATTCTGGACCAAGCTTCCCAATTTGGATAGATCAGGATCACTCTTTCATACAATCCAGTGAAAAAAGGAGCATAAGAAAGATCATATATGTGTCTTCATACATGTATGAACATGTATGAACATGAATCACACCTCACACTTCAGGAGCTAACTACAGTGAGTTCTTCATGATTCAAGGCTTGATTAGCCATGTCATGCATTAGCCATGTCTCTTCTTTCCTCTCCGTCTCCATCTGGCCATCTCTCATTTTTTCTTTTTCTTTTCTGATTAGTAATTTTCCAAGACAGTAGAAAGGGCAAGGAAAAGGCTGTGAAATTCAGATTGGGCAGTTTGGATAACAGCTTAGGTAAAAGGTTTGACAAGAAATGAGGTAGAAACTAATAGCTAAAATGAAATGTCCGGTTCATCAGTAGATTGCAGCTATCTGTGCCATCCTTATCCTCCATTACTGTGGGTGGCTGTAAGCTAGCTGCAGCTGATCGCCCTAACCCCCACAGTTCTATGATGCTCCTTTTTTTTTTTTTTTGGCTAAATTAGTGAGATCCTCTTCAAGGACATCTGATGAAGCAGGGCAAAAGCCTAGACGTTGTAAACATGTTCAATGACTTTGCTTTTTTTTTTTTTTTCAGTTTGCAGTGATGACCTCACTCACAAATTCAAAGGCTTCACAGTAATGAATGAAACAGAAAGATATGAGGCTCTCAGGCACTGTCGTTATGTAGATGAAGTCATCAGAGATGCTCCGTGGACACTCACACCAGAGTTCCTAGAAAAACACAAGGTATTTCTCATTCATCCCTCTCCTTTCCATGGGAAGCTAAGGACTCCAGTAGCTGGCAGGTCAAGTTAATGCTTAAAGACCTTGTGCCCCTGGAAGCTGCTTATACATACACGAGATTTCTTTAACAGGGACAAAGGGGGGGAAATTTGTTTAGCCTTCACAAAATTATATGGTTTACATCCCCCTACCAGCCCTATGTGAGGAGCTGTGCTCTGCCTTTGTGTGCATTTAAAAAAAAAAGGTTAAGTTCCGTTTGAATGATTTTTCTATTTTTAAACTAGCTACACAGAAAAGAATGGGAAATAAGCAATGATATGTGTGTGTGTGTGCATATGTGTGTGTGTGTGTGTGTGTGTGTGTGTGTGTGTGTGATAGCAGGAAAATCAAGCAATTTTCTAGTGAGAAGGAAAGGGGAAACTACAAAATTATTCTCTCCAATCAATCTTGAATATTTATTTGGCACAATTATAGGCTCAGCCCATGCTTGGCATGATGGGACATACAGACAAAGTATGGCCTCAAGGAGCTTACTGTATCCTTAGCTCAACAAAACTGACACATAAAATAAAAGTGAGCAGTACAAGGCAGTGTGTAAGTAACTGAAGTGCTCGGTTGTGTTGGTACAGTTTAGAGAAGGAGATCAGTACATCTGCTACAAATTATAGTCTTAGAGAGTCACCTGGAACACTGAAAAGTTGAGTGAGTTGCCCAGGTCACACCGTCAGTATGAGTTGGAAACAGGACGTGAACCCAGGTCTTCTTACCTTCAAATCTGGCCCTCTATCCACTAAGCCATGTTGCTTCTAAGTTAACTATAATATGAAGGATGTGCTATAATGTGACATATAAAACGTTTGAAAGACATAGTTTCTGGGCAATTAATCATTTTATTAATAATGCTAGCATGTTATTAATAAAAGGATGGTCATTTGGCCATCTTCTTAGACCAAAGACTCCTCATGGAACTCGATGCTTATATACCTTTAGAAGAGTGGGTGTTTTTGAGGGTGGAAAGCAACTCTGATTGGTTAACAATTAATGAGAGAATAAATATTATAATGAGAAGTAGACCTAATGAGGGTCTGGGGTACATGACTTTGATTACTCAGTTTTGGTAGAAGAAAATTATCTGTATACATATTACCCACCTGACAAAAAAGGAGAATTCACATTTCCCCAGACTCATCTGAGTAAAACTCAATAGGCTGGAATCCATCAATTCACCTAGCTTTTTATTTTGAACACATCTGAGTCTTCCTCTCACTATCAGCCCTGCACTGCAAGCTCTTCCTGAATAACCTACAGGGGCTGATTTCTGAATGAGGAAGTAGAAAAGGGGAAAAACCCTTGGTCCTAATTCAACATTTCTCTCATTAGTAAAGATGTAAAATGCTGTGGGGGTTTGGAGGACCAAGAGAACACATTGTCCTGTGTGGACACATTTGACACATTTGGTGGGAGTTGGGTGGGAGGGATGGAGAATTTAGAAAACCTCCATGAAGGAGGTAGCATTTGAGATGGACCTCAAAGGACAGTAGGATTTTGACAGATCACAGAAAGAAAACAAACAAATAAACAAAACCCTAAATCTTGAGTGTGGTGTTGTGGATAGAATACTTAGAAGCCCCGACTTCAAACTTTGTGCTCTAACGTATTAACTATGTGACCATAGGAGAGTCATGTAGCTTCTCTGAGCCTCAGTTTCCTCACCTGTAACTTGGAAATGATACCTGACCAACCTCAGAGGGATGTTGTGCAGTTTAAGTGTGATTATGTATAGAAAGTACTTTACAAAATGTAAAGCCCCATGTAACTGTCAGTTATTAGTTGGGGAAGGAATGGAAAAAATTGGATAAGCAAACTGGAACCAGACTACTGAAGGCCTTGAAAGTCAGTCATAAAGTTGTCAATGGTTTTTGTTTGTTTGTTTTAACAAGGAATGACATGAAGAAAGCATTGGTTTTAGGAATATTCCTATCCAATATCAGCATACAGGATAGATTACAAGGAGAGCAAGAAGTAAGAAAAGCCAGTTTAGAGGCCACTGCAGTCATTCAGGCCTGAAGGGAGGAGGGTCTGCACAGGAGTGTCAGTGACTACAAAGGAAAAATAGACAAGAAAGATATTTTGAAGTAAAATAAGCAGGAATTAGTGACTCAGTAAATGAGGGAGATGAAGGAGAAAGATGAATTGAATTTGACTTCAAGATTTTGGGCCTGAGTATATGGAAGAATAGTTGTCAAGATGTGTTCGGTTTTTGATATATTGAACTGGAAATGATAGTGGAGTGGTATATAATGTAAAAAGTCAGAAATCACAAGAACAGATTCTTTTATTTTCCCCTACCTCTCTCTGCACCAACCAGATGTATAACAAGGTGAAAATCACCTAATCTCTGATCCTCAGCTTCCTCATTTCTAAAATGGGTACGATGATACCTACAGGACAGGGTGGGTCATGAGGGTCAAATGAGAAAAATAATGTGAAAGTGACTTACAAAACATGATTTGGACCATATATGTGAAATATGACTGCTATTAGCTATGAGGCTGGAAAGGGGACGGAACTGGAGACAGAGATTTGGGAGCTGCCAGTATAGTCAGAATAGTCAGAGGACAGAAAGCATTCCAGGCTGGGGGACAGAGATGATAGTGTCCAGGAAAATGGATGGATTCTCTGAGGGAGAGAAGAATACAAGGCCAAGAGCTGAACCTTTGGCCATACCCACAGTTAGATTGTAGGAGGAGAAAGAAGATCCAGAAGGGAAAATAAACTCAACTTCTTGAGTCCGGATCCCACTGATTTTGATGGAAATAAAGAGTACAAAAAGTCTTTGATGAGAGAATTCTGACTACAGATATGAATTTCAAATTCAGATTCCTAATACCAATAAGGCATTTCTCCAACCTCTTGCTCCCCAAGACTTCAGGTACCGCTTCCTCCACCCTCAACTCAGCGGTGATATTTCCCTTTCTCTTTCCTGGACAGATTGATTTTGTGGCCCATGATGACATTCCATATTCCTCTGCCGGTTCTGATGATGTTTACAAGCACATAAAGGAAGCAGGTGAGGATTCTTGTCTGTTCCAATTCATGACCTCATGCAACAGGCACCCACAAGGTGTCAGCCGTATTTGCATAATAAAGGCACAAATGAAAACTGAATATTCATGGATAGGATTATTTACTTAAAAATGACCAGATAAAAATCATTTAGAACAGTAGTCACCTAAACAGAGGCTGCTCATGACTTAAATAGTGGATTACATCCCACTCCCTCCTGAAACAGTCAATTATGAGCTTCTCTCCAGCGACAATAACACCACTCCATTCTTCCCTTACGGCTCAACACTTCGTCAGTCATCCTACCCCTCTCACCTGCCGCTGGCCTCCTATGCCTGAGAGTCAGCCCATTAGGGCAGTTACAACACAGCCACAGCCCAGTACCCTGTAGTAGTTGTGGCAGCAAAATTATCTGCCCCTAGCCTCTGGCAAATCCACATCCTGTCCCCCCAGGTCAATTTGTGGCTTTAGCAGGCGCTGGGCTCTGTGCTCTGATATAGAGGCTGGTGAGTAAGAGCTGCCTCTTCTGCTGCATCCCCCTACCCCCAATACACACTTCAGATTTTAGTGGGACCGTGAATTTATTCAGGATGAGCAAGCAGGAACAAAATGTGGTCTGCATCACTGATCTCATTATATTATCTTCCCCTCCACCCACCCCAATCCATCCTTCTTCCAAATTTCCCTGTTCCTCTTGAGGACACTATTATCTTCCTAGTCACTCAGGGTCATGACCTCTGGGTTACCTTTGATTCCTCTTTCTCCCTCACTCCTCATATATAATCAATTGCCAAATCTTGTCTTTTTATCAAATCAAATGATCAATTGAGATAATATTTGTAAAGTACTTGGCACAGTGCCTGGCACACATTAGGCACTACATATAAAAGCGTATTTCCTTTCCTTCCCCTCCTCTTCTTTCCTTACCTCCACAGCATCACTCACCTCTCTCTTTTCTCTATTCACACACCGTTACCACCTCTTGACTGCTCTATTGCAGTCACATCCAAATTAGTCTCCCTGCCTCGAAGGGAAAGTTAATTTGGCAAATTGTGTAGTGGAGGTAGCCAAGGAAGAGACTATTTCAGTATTCCAGCGGAGAGGTAGTATCTGAACTAGGGTAGGGGCTGTGTGAATGGAGAAACAGATATGTGAGAGGTATTGTGGAAGCAGAAAGGACCAGATTTGGTAGGGGAGGAGGGAGAATGAGAAATCAAGGATGACGTCAAGGGGGTGGGGTGAAGTAAGAAGGTAGTCTTCTGGGGGCATGGTAAAGAAAGCCTAGAGAGTTAGGAATGAAGCCTGGAGAGGAATGAAGGAAGGCATTTTAAATGGAGATTCTCAGAGGTCAATCAGGGGAGGGGTCCCAGGAGTACAGTGTACTTCTAGAGTGAGAAGTCTAGGGTTAGAGTAACTTCCAGGGTGGAAGCCTCAGTGGCATGGTAAAGAAAGTCCAAAGAATCAAGAATGGACACTGCAAGGGAATGGAATGACTGGAGGTCATAAGGAGGATGAAGATTAGGAATGCAGCAGAGGGAGAGATAGAAGATAGAAAGTTAAACTGTGAGAAGGGCGTTTCAGAGTTCTGAGTCCTGAGGGCTGAACAGCAATGGGTGATAGTGAAGTCAAAGGGATGCTCATTCCTGAAAGTGACTTAGGTGAAGTGAAATTGCTGAGCGTGGGAGTGGAAGAGGGTGATGAGCTAGAAGGTCAAAGTGTCTGATCTTGGCATTGACAGACATTCCTCTGATCTGAATTTCCCTTTTGCTTTGGTCCCCTCAGTTCATGACTACATTGCTTCTGGCTTCCAATATTTTGGAACTTTTTCAAATGAGATAATACTTGCAAAAAGTGCTTAGCCCAGTACCTGGCACACAATAGGTGCTATGTAAATATTTATTCCCTTCCTTTCCCCTTTTGTGGCTAATGCTTTTCTGGGTTCCCTGGCTCCAGAAACTAATAGCCTACGCCACGAGAAACCCTCAGTCCCTACTCATGGCCTCTGGACCCTCTAAACCCGTTTCCAGACCTCATGTAGCAGCATGTTCTGTCTTGCCAGAGATCTAGAATCTGAAAAAATCATTTTATGCTTTTTGAAAAGATTCAATTCTTAACCCACGAGGTAAATGACCAGGAAAGACTCATCTTATTATAGCTACATCTTTCAATCATGTTATGAAATATCCTCAAGAATTGCAAAGGGAGGCAATAAATGCCTGCTAATGGGAAAGCATTGAAAAGTGATGGCCTGGGAGAACAGACATGATAAGAAAATCATTGATTTAAAGCCGGAAGGTACTTTAGTCTCTATGAGGTCATCTCAGTTTTAGGAACATAGATTTATAGACCTAGGGCTCTTAGAACCTCACAGTTCATTTAATCTAATCCTCTCCTTTTATAGATTAGTAAACTGAGGCACAGGAAAGTAAATGACTTGCCCAAGGTCACATTGATAGTAAACATCAAAGGCTAAGTTCTCTTTCCACTGTACCATGCTGCCTCCATGAGAGGGATAGAATTTTTTTTTCAGTGCAACAATTCCTCTGGATTGTCTTATGGGTTTTTCAATGTTGAATGGTATCAATATGTTTTGCTGCCATGGAGATCATGTTTTCTTTTAACATCATTGCTGTTTGATTCTCCAGATTGTTCTTCACTTTCATGTATTTGCCATTCCCATTGATTTATCTTCTCTTTTGTTTCTTTGGTGACATTTGCCTTTACGGATTCAAGTTTTTCTGTTTCTGCCAATTATTTCTAAGTGCAGGCCACACATTCTTATTTTACAATTTTTTTCCTCTTTTGAATCTTTTTTTCTCTATTGAACCATTAAGGAGTCTCTTGAGACGTCTTTTACGTCCCTTGGGAATCCACAAGGTCCCATAAGTTTACTTGTCTCAGTAGGTGCTGTTTAATTTTCCTTCATCTTGCAATATTTATTCATAGATGTCTGAACATAATTAAATCAAGCATGGACCGTGTTCCCTTTGGTTATTAATACCTTCTCTGTTGGTTTATCTTCTTGTGTTCAAAGTATTTGATTTAATTTTTTTCTTCCTGAGATCTTTGCTAATTTTTAGTCTTTTTACTTTTATTCTGCTGCTGTTCTTTTTCTGACTCCTTCCCTCTGATAGTGGTTTTCTGGTGGCTGGACTTCAAAGCCATTTCAGCCTCCTCCAGCTGGGACCAGTTCAAGGCTGTGCTCTTTCCCTCAGTCTTAGTGGAGTGCCACACAATGACACAAGTCTTGCCCCAGTCTTCTCTGTTCTTCAGTTCTCTGAATCAACATAGCAGCTCTTTTTGTGAATCTTGTGAAAAGCAGCCTCTGAAGCACACCCCTCACAAACACTGTTCTTTTAACTGCATTGATTTGAATCAATCATATTACGGGGCTTCAGATAATCAACTATGTATTAAAGTAGTCATTGCTAGAATAGTTTCCTAAACTCCAAATTGCATTAATTTTAATTTGTCTTAAATGAGTTAATGGTAGATAATTGAGATTGTGATATTATTACTTAGTGGTGTGCTGGAACACTAGCTCATGACAGCTGACTGTTAAATTTCCAGGGCGAGCATTTGCATCTCAGAAATCAGCAAATACTGCAATGTAGGGCTTGATTTATTATTTTGGTGATTGTCTAGGCTTAAGGAAGTGAGAGAGAAAATGTTAATAACACAGATTAAGCTTTAAAGTGTGTCCTGTGCAACATTTTTTTAGAGAGCTAGTTATTAAACATTTACCAGCATACCTCTGCCCATAACCAGTTGAAAATAATCTCCCCATAGATCTTTAAAATAAAGGAATTAAGTTGGATGATTTTTTAAGTCTCCTTTAAGTTCTATGACATTATGAATCTAATCAGTATTATATTACATGAATCTAAATAGGATTATGTGAATTGTATTATATGAATTCAAGTAGGATCATATTACATATATATAAGTAGTATAACATTATGTGAATCTAAATAAGATTATACGAATTGTATTATATGAATCTAAGTAGGATCATATTATTTACCTAGGCAGTATAACATTATATGAATCTAAGTGGGATTATATGAATTGTATTATACGAATCTAAGTAGGATTATATTATATACCTAAGTAGTATTATATCATACGAATCTAAATAGGATTATAGTATATACCTAAGTAGTATTATGTTATATGAATCTAAGTAGAATTATATTATATACCTGACCATTCTGTCCTGAGTAAAGGCTTTCTGGCAGTAGTTATCATTCAGTTCCCTCACTTTTCCATCTCTACTTCTATTCTTCTCTATTTCTTGTAAGTTGGGAGTCTTGGACCACAAGGGAGTATGTCTGGAAAAGCTTTGGGGAAGAGACTGGAATAGGAGTTTTGATTAAAAAAAAAAAAAGAGGAAGGGAAAGTGAATTGGTGGTTAGTGGTTTTGGTTTTTTTTTTTTAATCCGACTATATATCATTTTAAATTAACTTACACGTATACACATGCACAGTGGAAATAACACTGGACTTGGAGTCAGCAGAGACCTGAATTCAAATCCTTGCTTTCAGCCTTACTATTATGTGAACTTAGAAAAGTCATTTAATTTCTATGAGCCCAAATATCCTCACCTGTAAAGTATGGATAATACTTGTAATAATTATCCCATTGGATTGTTCTGTAGAAAATTTTACAAGCATGAAAACATCACATAAATGTGAATTACCACTATTATTAATATTAGTAGTCATACACATCAATCAACAAGCATTTATTAAATATATAGCATGTACTAGGCACTGGGGATACAAAGACAAAAATGAAATAGTACCTGCTGTCAAGGAGCTTATATTATATTGGGGGAGGCAATACAGACACACACAAATAAAAGAATAGGGACAGGGACTGATCTGTAATTTTGTCAATACAAGAAATTTCCACTTGAGGAATTTTCCTCTGATAATGCAGGTCAGTACCTTAACCCCATTTGCCTCAGTTCCTCATCTACAAAATGAACTGAAGAAGGAAAT